CCCTTCTCCATACGGCAGTCGTCTCTCTTGGCCTCTCTGGCAGTTCCACTGACTGACACACGTCTGTCGTCGAGAAAATTACGGCCGTGACGACGTCAACGACGCCGACCAAGAAGAAAGAGCTGTCGTCGCGACGCTCGCGTTCCCCATGCGGATACGCCGTAAAGACCGGAATGAAGAACCGCCTGGTCCGCGCACAAGGCCTACTTATTGTTAGCCGACCAGCCCCTGTCCGAGGAGGCGTCGCGCGCCCGGCCGTCGACACTTAGGAACTCTGCGAAGACCCCGACTAAAAGTTTTAGGTACTCAACGGATTATTGATTGCTCATTTTATGTGGTCCAGATCCCTCACAGATACGTCTAACGAGACTATCCCGAACTTCACTTTTATTACGAAGGGCAACTTCGGACTGAGGGATAAATCCGAAATGGATCTGGGTATAATCTAGAAAATTACAAATCATTTATGGATCATAGATTCAAACTATATTCACTTTAAGGCAAATATCATTCACAGGGCAATTTTGGGCCCATTCCGTAGCGTTAAGTTATCCTTTATAAATTTAAGCGTGATCTGCTGCTGTGAAACATATAAATATATTAAAGTTCGGCCCAGTCTCACTAGACGTACCTGTGCGAGATCTCACGTGGACGAAGTAAAGAAAACCAAGTAGTCGAGAAAGAGAGAGAGAGAGAGAGAGAGAGAGAGAGAGAGAGAGAGAGAGAGAGAGAGAGAGAGAGAGAAAATAAGAATAGAAGCAAAATGTCCGTGGTCGCTTGAGAAAATTAGCGAGGGGAGTCGGTGGAGCTGGAGGAAACAGAAATGCTCCCGGGAATATCCTAGGGGATAAAAGCCGTGGCATTAAATGTTTCCTTATGGGATAGGATAAAAAAAATGGCAGCCGACCTGCGGTCTGCCGGCCGAGTGGGTGCCTAGTGCCAAACGTAAATTACGTATGCGCAAACGGTACGGACGCCACAGCATTACCGACGCTGCATCTGCATATGCTATAGGTACACATCACACCCTAGAGACTACACGAGTTGCTAAACTTCAACTGACGACTAAACTTCACTGAGACTCTTGCTTATGGGAACCATCCGTCGACTTTAAAGCGATCCTCGCTGAAGTACCTGTCACTCGGGTCCTTTTGATCACTGGGGTCACTGGGGTCACTGCGGTCACTGTTGGAATTCCTCAGAAATCACTAGAAATCGAAAGGAAAAGTTCCCATAACGACAAGAAAAAATCGCGAGTTCTACCCAATCGCTTAATTATGCGAGTTTACGAGACATTCCCCCTCGCTAAATTCTTCTTTGTTTTTCTGAATAAAAGTAGAAAGTCCGATTTCGCGTGGAACGAACGTGCTACACTCGACCAACCTATAAGAATTTTTAAGAGATACGTGAACCGGGAAAATAAAAGGCAAACAAATAAAAGGCAGAAAGGAAGGAAGGCCGGAGTGAAAATTGAAATAAAGTTTGGCGCAGCAGCAGGGCCTCCTCTCGCTCAGCTACCACGGAGGAGCAATGGATGCGATAGGTTGTACGGGCTGTATGGGACGTATGGGACGTATGGGATGTACGGGCATTAGGCGCAAGTGCAGAGGGAGTAACCAGTGAAGTGGACCCCTGGAGGATATTTATGTTCGAACGGTCGACCACCGGAATCCTACCGTCTTTACAATCAGCTGGTTGGTCGCAGATGAAACCAATTAAAATATTGATTCCTCGAGCACGTTCAGTGAACTGAAGCTCGTAGTCGGGCGCTCGGCGCTGTTACGTGGTAATTCGAATGGATTAGAAGCTCCCACCCACGGGCCACCCTTACTACAGGTTCCCTGACTTGCGAACGATTCTTTTCGAATCCTCGAAAACCACCCACGAGAAACGCGACCCAAGTATTCTAAATCGTAAAGGGGATCGCTGGAGGCGCGTTGGAGAGCTGCGATTTCGCAAGAAAGGATCAGCACCCGCGCGAGAAAGACGAAGCAAGATTAAAGCCGATGAGCCGAAGAGCCGATGAGCCGATGAACTGCGCCACGAGGAGTAGCTATTTAACGAGAGCCGAAGGGACGAACGAAAGCCAGAGCTGGAGGACACTAAGGGGAGTGCTGGGTCGCAAGGACTGCAGACCTGAAGGAAGAATAACGATTGGAGTAGCGGTCTCGGTTGTCTCGGTTGTCTCTGTTGTCTGTCTGAATGGTTAAATCGCCAGGGCGAGAATAACGGAGTCTCGAGTAATCAACGTTATCGACAGTGAGCTCGGTCCGGGCGAATTAACGGCGCGAAGGGTCCAGGAGAATTTCCAGGAAGGAAGCTGCTAGGCGGAACCTGGAAGGCGCAACCCCCTCTTCTGCCACTTCCGGAAAGGGCATCACGAAAGTCTTTGGACTCTCTCGCTCACTCGCTTAGCTCACTGCGTTCAGGAGAGCAAGACAATTTTGTGAATAAAACCCGGTTGTTCCACACGCAAGCTCAGACGCAGCTTTCTTTCCTTTTTACTGAAAATCAGCAGAGCAATTTATGAGCAGCGCTTACCTAACAAATGAGCCTTCACAGAAGCCGAATTGACTCGGCCGAATAAACTCCAAGTCACAGTGCCGCCACTTCAACTTCTCCCCGACTGCATTTGCAATTGAGATATCTTAACTATTATTTTGTGTGGTCCAGAAGGTCGCAGAGTGCGTCTCTCTCCCAGCCTCACTCTGGTAAACCCTCTTTTGACTGCGTCTCCTAAATCGATCAGTGCTACTGTAGATTTAAGATGTAATTTCCGCATGCACGATCCTCGATCAGTGTCATGCGAGCAGAGAAGCTCCCTCAGCAAATCCGCTAATGCCTCACTAAAATTACGCATTCCAATTAGTCAGACGCACGGAAACCGCAGTGCAGACGTTATTTCGCTTCCTAATGAACATTCCTCGTCACGTGAATCGCGTGAATCACGTGAATCACGTGTGACGAGCGCACGAGCGCCGCCGAAAGCGCGGGTCGCCCGGCGGCCTCAGCCCAGCAGCCGATATTCAGTGAGGCCGTAATGCGTCGACCGGTCGACCTAATGACATGCACGGTGCAACGTACGTCCCTCTATATGTATACGGATCTGCAACATTATTCGACCCTACGCACTTGCCTACTGTGCATTTCACCCAGAGAACTATTCGAGTCAAGCGAATTCAGCCCCATAACCGCAGCAGCACCACTGGACACTGGATCCTGTGCAGCGTTTAAGGACGAAGGAGAAAAGAAGGAAAGCCTCGAGGCGACGTAAACACGCAAGCAGCAAACTTGCAGAGGATCAAGCAGCCACCGGACAACCAGCAACCGGATTCGATAGCGTCAGGATACGTTCCAGGACGTGCCGAGCACACAATGCGCCCATTGTATCGCATTACGGATGCTCCTGTGTGGGGACACGGGGACACGGGACCATGCACGGATTCAATCCGTTCGGTTCACGTGCGCGACGCATTCGAACGATCCGGCGGCAAGGAAACTCGGCCGCAGTCGAGTCAGGTACTGATATGGGGGAGGAAGGAAACGTTTTGTGGGCAGGCTGATCGGTGGGCGGAGGGGAGGGCGGCATTGACGAAACTCTCAAATCGTTAATAAAGAAAGACTTTTCTTTCTTCACGATCAGCGGAAGCGTCTTTCGACGACACTGCGCTCAGGTCGCATCACTCGAAAAAAAAGAAAAGAAAAAAAAGAAAATGTACAGAAATACGGAATAATAATGTAGAAAAGGACAAGAAGGCGAGAAGAAAGCGGCAACAAAGGGATGGAAAGAGACGCGCCATTTGGCAGCCCGAGCGAATGACATTCCATGGAGTCGCGGCGTCTGCGAGACTACGAGACTCTTTCGAGAAGCCCCTTTCAGTGCAGTCGGGCGCGAGCAACATCAGCGTATCGGCGTGTGACTCCAGTTCCTCTCCAGGCCGAGTCGGCGGAGTGCTGGGACGTCGTTGCCGATGCCGGATGGACGAGACTAAAAAGGTACTCGGAAGTAGAGAGAGAAAAGGTGAAAAGTGAAAGTTGAAAGGTGAAAAGAGAAAAGTAAAGGGCACGTGAAAGCGCGAAGGAGTGAAGCCGAGAAGCGAAAGGCCAAATATGAAAGATAGAGGGAACATCTAAGAAGAAACTGTCAAGCCTCTGTATTAATCCGGCTAAAAGCCCCCGGGGATGGTGCTCCGGCAGGAATTCCCTCGAAACGCCCGGAATATATGGAATTTAATATTAAAGCGAACGGGGAGACTGTCCCACGTGTTACGCCACCACTGATGCGACCGTCGAGGCCAATGTCGACGGCTATGCTCTCTTCAAATCACACTTAATATTAAGCACTTCCGGTTTGAAAGCAGCCCATGCTCCAAAATTCATATTTTTTGCAAGGACCAATGCATAAGTCGTGTCGATTCGTTGCCTTTTGCTCGAACGTCACTCATTCCTTCGCATCGATTAATCAGAGATTGGAAAAAAGCGTTCAAGACTGAACGCAGATTCGTATATAGATAAAGGAAAGTAGATAGAAAAAGATGAAAAGCCGATAAACTTTCTCTGTCGGGAGAAACGAGGACGAAAGACGAAACCTCCTCGGTTCGATATTTATATATTTGAGCGACCGTCCAGTTGGAGGCGCACGTAATTGTCGCACCTCTGTAAATTTGGCCACTCGTTATGCAAATTTAAAAAAACATTTTGATTTCTGCTTGCCCCCGGAAGATTTCTAGAGTTCCTGATAGTTCTCATCAATAGTTCTGTCGATTAAGTGCACAAAATAGCGATATTCAGAAATGAGGGCCAACTTCATAGAGGTAATTGTCACTCGGGGGCGCAGATTCCAGAAGGAATATTTACGCGCCTACCGCAGCAGCAGCAGCAGCAGCAGCACATGTGCAGTACAAGACGGCGGCAGATCAATGCATGAACGCATCGACGCATCGACGGGCGCACGTGGCGCACGACGGAAACAAGAAAGAAGAAAATAATAATCGACTCACCTTCCAACTCGACAACCTTGCCAGCCCTCTTGAGCGCCTTGACAGCCTCGTCGTGAGTGGCCTCGCGCAGATCCTCGCCGTTCACGGCCAGGATGGCGTCACCCACGTAAAGCTGCTCCGTCGCATCGGCCGCCATCCCCTTGAAGATCTTCGATATGAGAATCGGCATTTTGTTCTCCTTGCCGCCCTTTATGGAAATACCGAGGCCGTTATTGTCGCTCTTGACCACGCGAACGATCCTCTTCTGATTGGCCACGGAATCCGGCACGTCCGGATCGTTAAGGCTGTCGATATTGTTGTTGTTGATGTTCCCGTTGAGCGCGCCGGCGTTCTCGCAGCTCTCGTCGAGAGAGATGCTGAGGTAGTCGTCTTCGAGGGAAACGAAGACGCGGTACCACTGACCGCGCACTTGCGTCTCTAGGACACCGGCACGTCCCAGCGCCGTGGCTGAACTCGAGCCAGTGGTGCTCGTCGTCGAGGCGGAGGACGTCGCCGCGGACACCGCACCTAGCCCGACCCCCAGGACCCCCAGGACTCCCATACCACTTGACTGACCGCTTCCGGTTCCGCTGAGCTCGACCATTTCAATTTCTTCGCAGGCTGCACGCTGCACATCACAGGCCATTTTTCAAACTCTCTCTCTCGCTCTCTCTCTCTCTCTCTCTCTCTCTCTCTCTCTCTCTCTCTCTCTCTCTACTCTATGCCTCGCTCTCTCACTTGCACTCTCCCACTCTTTTACCAAGCTTCATCAGACATGAAATTTCTATAATTCACCTTTCCTCGTAACTCTTTCTCTTTATCGGCAGCCCCAACTCGCCAGACTGATTCTACGTTAACGATTCTCGAGTGCAGCAAGATAAAGATAAAGATAAAGATAAAGAGAATCTAGAGAATTTAGGGAATGCAAAGAGGAGTCGATACTCAGATTACTCAGGTTACGGTTCCTTCCGTTCGTGACAGAAGGTACCCTCGGTCAGTCGCAGGTAAGTCACGAGGGGCAATTCAAGAGATTCTTTTGCCAAGAAAATGAAGAATAGCAAGAGTGCTAGAGTGCTAGAAACCGAGTGGAAGAAAGCAAATGAGTATTGAGAAGGCTCTTAATGTAAATGTGGCGCAAGGTTCGAGCTGCACCGAGAGAAGCAGCTGGAGCAGCTGGAGCAGCTGGAAGCTAAGAATATATAAGAATATATCGAATGCTCCTCTCTCGCTCTCTGGAAGAAGACCCGCCAAGAATAATCGCAGGTGAAAGGAGTTTTAAAGCGAACGGGGAAGAAAGTAGGATGATTGGAGGGACGAAGGGCGCAAAAGGATAAAAAGCAGAAACATAGCGGCTGATGGAAGCGAGAGACATGCGCCGCAATGCACCTAAACCCTGGCTTCACCGGCCAAACGCAGTCGCGTAAATTTCCAATTTAATATAAATGCGTAATGGCCAGGTCGGACAGGTCGGACAGGTCGGCCCGGTTGGCCCGATTGACTCGATTGACTCGATTGACCCGATTGCTCAGGATAACCGATCCGAATTCATCCGAATTGAACCGAATCGAGTGATGCTCTGCAGGGAATTCAAAGGGTGGCTATTCCTGTAAAATTCATGTATACAAGGTATATTAAAATGCATGCGGGCGTTCGTTAAATAATACAAAGGGAGGCGGCACGGGGATGACAGGTGTGCACTAGGTATTGCGGCGTTGCTGTTGCTTATACCGATACTGCTAATAGCAACGGTGATATAATGGCAATGGCAATGGCAATGGCAATGGCAATGGCAATGGCAATGACACATTGACACCTACGCTCACGTCCTGCAGTCACGTCCACGAGTAAAATAGCACAATATGAGAGAAGAAAACATTCAAATTTTCCATTGCCAATGCTTTTTTGTCAAAGAAATGAAGGTCAGCCAATGGAGGAGCATTGATTACCTTTAGCAAAGCAGCATTGGCAATTGGGAAATTTCGCTACGGAAACCCCTAAGACGAAACACGTGTTGCCGTCTGCCACTTTAAGCTATTTTACTTGCGGACCGACTATACTAGATACGTATACGTGGCTTGGTTGCGCAACTGGTAAGCGCGTTGCTTCTCTGAATCACGTGCGCTCGCACGATTCGTAAAATTCACGAGGGATGCTGCGATGACGCAGGAAAGGACGAGCGCAAAGCAACGCGACGCCGAAGACGAGCACAGAACGTGCGAAAGGGACGTTTGCGAATTTCGAGCTCCACGAGTCGCGGCTGCTGATGCACGTGCTCGGCCGCGGGGCGAGGGAGAATGGAGACGTACATACATATACTGGGGCCCACCTACGGACATTGCGGGCGATTCTAATAATTCCTTTAAAGAATCGAGGCCAATTAGGAGGCAACTTGCAGAGGCGTCGGGACGAAGAAGCACCAGAGACAGACGCGCGCGCCCGGTCCACGGGGACTCGACGGCGACGACGACGGCGTCCAGCTACAAGGAAGATCGTCGACGAATGCATTGAAAGTAGACACGACGGACAAACTTTGCGATCGCTCGCGGAGGTAAACATTCGAGAGTATAGCGTGGACTGAATTGGTAATAATTGATGCTCGCCACTTAATGAAGCGATCGATCGTGGGCAGAGTTGCCGAACAGCCGAACAGCAGTAGAGCGCTTATGATTGAAGTGTTTGTCTGTGGAAATTGGTGCGGCGCGCATCGGGATACATGATGCCGGCGGCGGCATTGCATTGCCGGCGCTTCTACTACATACTCCCATTGCAAAAACCAATAACCTCGGCGAACGGCGAACGGCGAACGGCGAACTTTCCTCCCTCTTGTTTATGGCCAACCAGCCAACAGACACGTGCAAGCACTGAAAAACCGTGCGAGACCATCATACGGATAGAGGAGAGGAAAGCGAAAATAGTAAAGAGGGGAACACGGATAGAATGGGAGTGATACGTCCAATGGCGCATCGATTAAAAATTATCTGCTCTATGTTTTAGCAGATACTAGCAGCAGCAGCTCTGCTTTGTGCGAGATGCCTGAGTCCGACAGGATAGTATGCTTGGCCCGAAGAAGGTAGGATGGTCACTATGGGCATTGGGTTTCAAGACACAGGAGGCGCAAGCTTCCGTACGGGACGTCGTCTCACGAGATAGCGTCCGATGTATAATACTTTGGCACGGCGACCGAGAACTGAATAGGTAGGACAATGCTCGCACCTCGAGCATTTCTCATTTATTTTTCCAGCTGCAGAACTACCAATGAAAGGAGGACAATTGCAAGCTGGATGTATGGAGATAAAAGAAGCCAGGAAGAAGTGTGAAACCCTGCGTAAAATTGATGAGCATTAAAATAGATTGACAATAGTACAGTGCTCGCTACAGGACCTTCTACAGAGCCGATTAGACGCGACGCGAGCACTGGCCTCCTGAACTTGGAGCACACGGGCTCGGTTTCATCGATTCGACAGAGAAGCTGCAGCTAAATTCGAATAAAATATGGCTGTTTTACAATTAGACAGCCAGCTGAATACTCAGAGTTCAGTTGAGCAGATCGAGCATCCTCGAGAGTCGTAAGACAGTAGGCAACATGGCAAATAAATAGAAATTCGTATACGTGCATTCGAAGTAATAACACAATCACTACGAATACAGAGACAAACAAAGAGGGAGATACATTTATGAGATTGAGGGACCGATATCCTGTGTGCCGGAAAGAATATAAGTGGATAGCATCAAATAATAGTATTACAAGAGAAACAGAAAAATTAAACACAATAAAATAGCGGTGTGACGCAAAATTACTAATCATGCTCGTAATAAGGTATATGTATGAACAAGTAAAAGAAATTTTGTAAAGGACAGATCCTTAGACTGAGCGAATGTATGTACATACATGCAATGGAAAACCCACAGCTGTCAATGAAATAGAAGTAACAAAAACTAAAAAGACCTGCGACAATAAATATTGTAGTTGAGTATTAACAAGATAGTCCCGCGGAGAGAGAAGGAGAGAAAAAAATAAATATAGCCTCCATGTTTCCGGCGGTTCAACCGTCACACGAGGACACTGACTCTCGTGACTTTCCGATGGCTGTCGTGCATCTCGCAGCAAATGAAATTCTCGACGTTCGGGCAAGTGAGAGGGCGGACATAAAGTATAAGAGACACAAGGCCACGCTTCAGGCAGACAGACATAGAGAGAGAGAGAGAGTGCGAGAGGGATACGTGCGGTATACCTTACTAAAGTGAGATCAAGGGAACAACTGAAGAAGGTGGAAGGCAAATAAAGGACAGAAGGAGATGCAAACGATACGGCCGAATGCCCGTTCTCTCTCTTTTACTCATAAAGCAGGCGTGATTTACCGTTTTCCGCGCGTGTATAGGCATATGAATTCTTAGGTAGGCGCAGATCCACGCTGTCCTACAGCCTCCTTTCCTCTCTTTCCTTTTTCCTTCCTCAACGCTTTGGCGGCCAGTCTCTATCTCCCGATGTCTCAGATATCTTGCGTCATTAAGGTCGACGAGCTAACGCATTCCAGCGTCATTCCAGTTGACGATATAACCGTCTCTCTAATCGGTCCTTCGCTCTGCGACATGTCCACAGCGGCGGCCTTCGACCCTTTTTCGCCTTTATTCTTGCTGCTTAGATCTACTGACGCGTCACTCATGTAACACTCTCATTAACGCCGCTGCTGACATAAGACCTAAACTAGTAATGCGGAACTAGCGCGGGACTCAGGACACGTACACGACACACGATGCCCAACATTAGTATTTTAATAAAAACTCGACGTCCCGCCGTCGACGTCCGAAAAACGCAAACTATCGGCAGTCTTTCTAAAGTATTGGCACGAATTTATGAGCACACCTTCTGCTTATTAATACACTGCCAAAGGCATGACAAAGGAGCAACAGTAGTCGGAGGAGATTCGAGTGGAGAGGCAAATGGCAAATTAAATGAATAGCAGGAGGGGAATTAGGATATCAGCATCAGGATTAAGAGATGAAAAAGGAGAAAGAGGTAGAACCTGGGAAGGTCAAAGTTCAGTTTACCAATCCTTCAAGGAGCGTCTTGTCACGCGCGCGCACATACACAACTACACGCACGAAGCACACGTACGTAGAGACACATGTAAGAAGAAGAGACACACACACAAGAGAGAAATGCAATGAACACGGGCCGTGATGACGGCATCAACGTGCACTGGGAAACGACGCAACGCCTTCGTGTAACGGGACGTCCGAATCAGGCCAAGTTTCCGGCTGCATTTCCAATATGGAAATCGTCGAGTAGAAGACGCGAAAATCCTTAGGGAAGCGCGACAACGTCACGAGCCGCACTACTCGCACTGGCACAGGGCCGACTGGCAGCCGCTCGACTCATGCGATCCTCCAGCCAGTCTTCCAGCCAGCCTGCCAGGCCAGCCAGCCAGCCATCCAGCAAGCCTGCCTCTTCATACTTCCCTACAAACAAGCTGCACGCACGCGCGCGCGCACTCACGTACTACACAGCCCAACCGGCGCTGTAACCGCTATAGTCTGGACCAAGTATTCGAGCGACACGAGCGTTCCTCGCGGCAATATTTGAAACTTGCTGTCTGTTCACAACCTTATCGACCAAAGCTAGGTTCCAAAAAATATACGAGAAACACCCAAGCCTCTGAAAACTGCGAAGGAATTCCGAGCCTTAGAAAACTACGTTAATCAACTCTTGAGTGACAAAACTATTATGACAAAGAATTCTTAAAATGCATCGAAATACAATTTAACAGGAATCTTGCGTGATCATCCAAACATTCTGAGTCAGTGACATTGTGGGCTTGCGGCTGAAACCGTGTTTGCTTTGCCCATATCCTTGTCGTACTATCTGATATCTTAAATTTTTTGCTCCTGGAAGCGAGGAGAGTGTGACACTTTATATATCTGGCACATCTTCTCATTGGAGGACGCAGCTGTAAGGGAAGGAAAGGAAGGGAGGACACTCTGCTCACCGAACTAGCAGCCTAATTTGTGAACATTGCTTCTCTTAGAACTGATAATTAATCATTATTTTTATATAAATATGAAAAAATATCAAACAAAATGTTAAAAACATAGTTTTGCGGTATATTAGCTAAAGTATTTATTATAATTTACAGAGAATCATAATTTTTCAAAAATTATCCCAAATGGTCGATAAACTGTTTTATATAATACCAAAGAAGTTTATGTCTAACTGTTTGCTTGTACCATTGGACTGCATGTTTCCTCACTCGTTATGTCCAAGCCTTGGGATTCACCAGGTTTGGCACATGTGTATCAAGGATCATAATGTAGTTTAGCAATTGGACGTGCTAATTAGCGCCACTCTGGGTACTATAGCTGGGTACCCATTATCCTGGATGCCTATAGTCGGTCCACGAGTTCAATGTGTTCCTTTGAAAGGTGCAGGCAGTGCAAACCTTAGCAAATAACATATGGGTTTCCATAAAATAACGTTAGTATATGTTAAAATAGAAACATAAAATATATGTAATGCGATACCCCTCATATGCCAAGTTTGTACTTAACAAACATTTTATGCAATGACACGCGTGCCTTGCTAGAGACTTTTCTGTTTTCAATCTGTCAAAAACGCACATCGAATTTATGAACCGACGATAATCTCAGAGTCCGGCCAGAGCGTTTTCGTTATTGGGGAAACGACTAGGACAATAATAAATTCATCTAGAGACTTACCTGTATATGTATATTTTGGAATGTACTAAGCAAGCGTGTTTCAACTATATCTTCAAATACATTATACGTTCACACATATTTTAAATTGTATTGAGAAATATATTAATAATATAATTATGATATTATAATCTATGCGACATACATTTTTCGCATGGAAATATATTATTTTCATGCGGATCATCAGGTGCGATCCCATTATCCATTAAAATCGTAACCCACGTGGCTATTCCAGAACGAGAAACTACTTTTATTTCTTTTCCTTTCCAGTTCATAGGTGGCCTCATAGGTAGACCTTGCATAATCGCTTTCCTCCTAGGTCCTAACACTATTCGAGCCATAGAACGTTCGGCATGGCAAAGGAATACGGCACGCGATCAAATTCATCGTCTTCTGGCCATTCCGTGAACACAGATTTGAGAAACGCGCGGTGCTCATCGGCACTTTAAATGCTGCATTCCTATTAATCCCGGCCACACGCAGCCACACGCAGCCCTTGAGGCTTATCAAATACGTCCTACCCAATTCAGGAATTAGCAATTACAAAAGGGCATATCTCAATTTCGGATGAACAATAGAGTCCGAATTAAAAGGGATTTTCCGAGCGAACGGACATTTACGAATGGTAGCCAGTGTTGTCAGTTGAAATAATTGTATCGGCTGGATTTCAGCACCTTCCGAACCTCGAGAGGATCAAATAGGACCGAGACTTCCATTTCATTTTGTATCTAGCTTTCCCCGTATTTGTCAGAGGCATCAGTTGCGCTTACGTCATCATTGCAGAGATCAAACGGCCGAAACTGCCCCAAGTGCGTTTCGCGATTTACTAACACTGAGATTTATTGATCAGCGTTTTATTTTGATTTATTAAGGTATCCTATACTATGCAAAACTTCGAAATTAGAATATTCGATGGAAAATAAATTGGTATATACTATATTGATTATTTTCATCTCGACAAAAGTCAATATAAATTTATAAAAAAAGCATCTTAATAATTTCTGTAATTTAAAACGAGAAATCTGAAATACATTGTTCCGATGGGTTTTTAGTTCTGGTATTAATTACTGCCAAATAATCGAAGACTGCGTAGAAATATGCAAAGCAATGCGCTTTAAAATCTGTTTCGTACCACAGACTGACACTATACAAATGATGTTTACAGAAACGAGAACCCGATGTTGTTTCATAACTTGATGTGACGCTTATCATAAAGAGGAGCAACGACAAAGGACTGGGAGTCATCAGCGAATGCCTGCTGTCTGACAATTGCAAATGGAAGCTACGTCCCTGACCTTCCAAAACTTGAGCTTCTTGCTGCGGGAGTCAAGAGTCACCGACACAGAAAGGAATCGGATCGACAATTTTTCGTTTCCTTCAAACACGAAAAAACAAAAGAAAATTGAGAGCAGATTTACATTGGAATCGTGGGTTTATCTGGACTAATTTGTTGCTGTTTATTATTAAAAAAAAAAAAAAGTAGTAAGTCGAGCTAGCTCCGTCATAAGTTTTTTTTTACAAATTAGGCAAGAGAGCATTAAATTAGCCTACAGTTAGCCCTCAATTATGATGCACGTTTCTTTTTCGAATTTCTTTTGTGGCAATGCCAGCTTGAAGGAGATGAATTTTTCCGCGGTCGAATAATAATTGCATTTTGGAGGATAATGGGGGTGATATTGGTGGCAGGGATAGCGAGGGAAGGAATCTTTCGAAAGTCCAGCCAGAGACATGAAGGGGAAGAGAGAGAGAGAGAGAGAGAGAGAGAGAGTTTATTATACTATACGGCTCTGACTCTGTTAGTATAAATCAGAAATATTAACAGTGTAATATCAAATACATTATATAAATAATATATGTGCAATAATCATAAAATTAACAGTAAAACAAAGAACCAGGAGAACTTATACAATAACTTAAAGACTACAATTAACATAACCAGACACAACTACGGAAGAAAGGCATGTAGCTATATTCTTAAACGTTGCGCGCGATGCTCTTTCGCTGATAATATGGAGGAAATTTCAGAAGCTGCACTTCGACATGGAGAGACAACCAAGTCCAGAGGATGGCCAAGCTGGCGAGTTCCTCGAAACGGATTCCTTGGATACAAAGAATAGCACGTCACTGTAGATGGCTAGGCGAATGAAAATTGCCAAAAAATAGTAAAGATCTGAATACCTGACCATTGCTTATTCACAATGATGCTCGCAACACGCTCAAACTAATGAGCATTCGCAAATTTGGAAGACCCTGGTATCGTGACCAAGCATCACCGTCATCTTCGAAGGATTTAGAGCAAGTTGTTTTTTTTTGTCACAGCCCATTCACAGATCCGCGCAAGATCCTCATTAATTTTTGCAACACACTCATTCAGTGCGAACCATGGGCAATGAGCAGAGTACTGAAGATCAGTCGCATATTTTGCCCTCCAACTGTTCAACATTACAGAATCAATATCAGCAGTACAGACGGGGAACAGGACTGGAGCAGGTACAGAACCCTGAGGTACCCTCGAACTAACGAGGAACCAACCAGAGACGCGATCGCCCTCTGTTCAGATGGTCCGAGCAGCCTGTCTGGGAGATAAGAACAGAACCGTTCAGGATTAGGACGGGAGAAGAGAGAAGTCTGCAAGATCGAGCTTCTCAATGAACGAACCATCGGATGCCTTTGAGAAATGAAATGGGACAAGTATGTAAGTATGGCGAGCATGAGCTGGCATCGATGGCACCACGAATATCGTCGGTTACCTTTTTAGGAGCATTCTGATTCTGAGTGAACCCACCGGCGGTATAGGCGCTCGAAATTCCGAGGAATCCTTCTGTCCACTTTCTTTCAGAAAGTTTAATCTGTCAGCACGTGATCAGACAATTCCCAGAGAATCACACGGTTCCTTGGAATCGGTGTTACCAGCAACCTCCTTAAGGCCCTAGGAAGGACAGTGGCGCACAGAGTGAAGGGCTGCGAGAGAGAGAGAGATAAACGCTGCAAAATAATTTAAGAGATTCCAAAATGCGGAAGAGTCGAGGTGATACGAGCGAAATTAAATTTGGAGTCGCCCTCCTCTTCGTTACAGTTTAGTGTCTCGGAATGATGAAAGGAAGACGAGTACCAAATACGCAGCAGGAGTAGGAAGTTAAAGAGAAAGAGAAAGAAGCACGAGGATGAAGATCTGGAGAAGAAGCTAAGAATAAGTAGTAGATAGAGAGGGTGGAGTAGTGGGTGAGGGCTGGGAACTGGAGAGGCATATGGTCTTCGGGTTTGAGATTTATCGAAGGCGAACGTCGATGCATTAGCGATGGAAAGGCGCGGAAACGAGATGAAGGTAACGAAGCGAGGGTTGAAACGGGGAAGGAGTCTGAGACGGTGGTAGTAGAAGTTGAGGGTGTCTGAGTCTGAGGAGGTCCTTCGATCCCCCTAACCATCACCGGAGCTTCGCGTCCCCCTTAAGACGTGTAACGAATCAATTGGGATCAGAGGTGAATCAAGCTGAATTGAGATAAGGACTCGCAGGTTACGGATCTACCGGAGCCATTGCCGCTCTCTCATTTGGAAAACAGGGCAGTTCTCAAATTGAAATATAATTTGAGAAAATAGAGAGAGAGAGAGAGAGAGAGAGAGAGAGAGAGAGAGAGAGAGAGAGGAGAAAAATACTGCTACGATGAAAGAGAAGTCGCGTTATCGCGGCAGACTGCATCCGCGCAAGAAATTCAGCGGTGCGTTAAATTAAATACAGCGACCTCGAGATCTCGTAGCATTCGCAACGCGAAAAATAATCTGGATTCAAAAGCCTCTTTTTTTTATTTTTTTATTTTTTTCTCTTTTGCTGCCATTCCCCTCTTCATTCTCGGGATCACGATAACACCGGAAAACAATGAGAACCGGAAAAGAAGTTTCGGACCATATCTTCCCATTTCCCCATTTCCCCATTTCCCCAGCACCTCCTCACTGGGTGACTGGGACTCTTACAGTTTGACAGGTAGTCAGGCGGCAGTTCCCCATAGTGCGATAGGAGCTCGTGCCGGGAGTCCTGCCACCCGCAAACGCCAGCTTCTCCAGGATATTCTTCCGCAGCACTCCTTCTACTATTGCTGGCACAGTTATGATGATAACCTGATCGACATTCGATGCCAGGCAGGTGCTTTTCAGATTTGTCCCTTTCCCTCGTCCTTCGTCCTTCGTCCTTCTCCTTACTTTTCTTCTTTTTCTTCTTCTTCTCTTAATCACATGCTTTTCTTCGCGAGACGACTGCGTATTCATTTTCTGTCGGCGCTATAAATCTCCTTGATCTGGAGGACCATGCGCGAGACGAATTCTTGAATTACAAATTGCTTCGAGAGTCCAACGTCTACGACCTCCGCATGGTTGGCCTCTCCGAGGTCTTCGTAGTCCACTATGCACTGATTAGTGATGAGGCTGAAGGCGAAGACAGTGAGGTCACAGTGCCTCGCCGTAATGACCTCGTGCACCGTCGACATACCTATTTCAGCGCAGAATTAACATTAACTCTATGCGTCAGTATCTTCCAGAATCAGATACCTCCAGCATCATGCAACAACAACACTTATAGGAATAGCTACGAGAGATCCAAGAGTTCAGGCACTTTTAAGGGATCTAGTGGATTTAGTAACGATCTGAGCTCAGAGCGGCGTCTACTCACCAACGGCGTCGACGCCGATCATTCTCAGCATCCTGAGCTCCGCCACGGTCTCGTAATTTGGACCGCCCAAACAGGTGTAGACTCCCTGGTGTACTATATCGGAGATACCCATTTCCTCGGCGATCTTCGCACCAACGTCCAGGAGCTTCGTGTTATAGGCCTTACTCATGGGTGGGAATCTTGGGCCGAACCTGTGCTCGTGAAAGACAGTTTAATTAAGCAGTGCGCTTGGGAGAATCGCTAACCGCTAATCGTTAGAGCATCACGCGTGATGGCAATGCCCTTTATTTCGGCAAAAGGCGCGTTTCCACTGAGCGAATACCTGGCGAACCAAGGCGCACCAAGAGTACCGAATGAGTATGAGGCTTAATATTTCGGCGGGATTTTCCTCAATTCGGTTCATTCTTTGTTCTCTCGGCGGGAATCTCTGTTTCGAGAGTCCGCACCTCGGCCGAAAGCTGTCGAAGAAAAAAAAGAAATGGGATCGTTCGCGTTCGTTTGCTTGTTCGCTACGCCTCGTTCAGTGAATTGACGCACCTAAAGAAAGCAACAGCTTAGTACATCTATCTCTCATATCTCATCCATCTCGTGAAAAGAATTTGGCCGTAAAGCACGCGACGCGAGCAGCCTGCTGCTCGGGGGGGCCAGTGGATCCAGCATCCGAAGAGCTCTAATAATATCAGAAAGAGTGACAAAGGAAGGGCGACAAAGAGGGAGCGCTTGCAAGCTCGCCGACCGAGAGGGTAGGTCATGTAGTCCCGCGGAAGGCAGAGCCACGTGAACGGAAGGTGTCGGAGAGGCAAGTTACGGGTCAGAGGTCAGGGTGGAGGGGAAGCACGAAGGAAGCGAAGGAAGCGAAGGAAGGTCGCTGAGCTCTGACGAGGACGACCAGGAAGGACGGAGTTTCTTGAGTAAATACAACGCCAATCAGATTCTTTATGTCGCTGTGCAAACAGTTCATCAATCCGATTCAGGGGTTATTTCAATGAAATAAATTAATTCGAGCATACATAGGATCAAGTTTACGCGACAACGCCTTCTTGCGGACAGCGCATCACCTCCTGCGCTTTCTTCATTTTCTCATTGATTAGGGCAGTCAACGTTGCAGCAGGCATCGCGTGTCAAAGTTTAGTAGCGAGCCCCATTTTAGGATGGGTGCACCTATACCTATATGGGTGACCTTACCTATCGTCGTTTGGCCCTTGAAGTGGATTGTTTCCTGCGAATCCCATCATATTAACGTGATCCTTCACCATCATGATGTCGCCCACCTTGAACTTTGGATTGAGACCTCCAGCAGCGTTCGTTGCGATGAGATACGTCACTCCCACGAGCTTCATCACCCTGACGGGCATTGCGCACTTCCATAGAGGATAGCCCTCGTAATAGTGAAACCTGCCTTGCATGCACATCACCGGGATGCCCTCTAGATAACCAAAGACCAGTTGCCCGACGTGACCGTGGACCGTCGAGACGGGGAAATGTGGCACGTCCTCGTATGGGAAGATCAGCCTATTCGTCACCAAGTCGGCGATGTTACCTGCGCATCAAAGGAGGGGAGAGATCACTCGTCAGCTTCCTCTTCAGTCTGATCGAAGCGGAGGAACGCGAGATAAGGATAGCTTACCCATTCCGGATCCACAGATGATCCCGATCTTTGGTTTGATCGGCACGCGTTCCAGCAAGTACTGGGCTGACTCTTGGAGCGCCTCGAAGGTGTACCTGCAACAGTGTTCGAGTGAGAGCAGCTGTGATTGTGAGCGCCACTTTCGGAGCTACTTTTTTAAGGACAAATAAATGTGTGACCGAGAGGTCAGTTCAATGTCTTCCCCCGATCATTTATGGTGGCTCTGCCTATTAATCAGTAGACGCATCTCAGCGTGGAATGCTGGTGCATTCCGGGACGGTTCTATCTCGAGCCGTGTCGGAGGTTGGCCTTGTAATATGGCGGAAACGGCAACACGGCAGAACCCCTTTGACATCAACTCGAGTATATACCAAAGGTCATTAGAGCGCGGGCGTATTCGCGAAACCTGAGGAGCCAGCGATATCATTGCCGTACGGGCGCATTCGACCGAGCCAATTCTTCTGTATTGCCTGGGATTTCGCTAAGCAGACCGCTGGTTGCATCGCTGCAATATATCTTATTCGTCTGGATAAGGAGTTTCGAGTAGTCTGCAGGTAATCATTAGATATTCTGTTATCGGGCGCAGAGAGAGGAGGGCGTCGATCGGCAAAGGGGCAATCGAGTCGATTCCTCGATAGTCTCCCTGGCTATCGAACCGACTGACTGACCGATGTCCGAAGGAAGGAGGACGTCCCAGACGGACATAGCGACTGCGAGCGTCGAAATTCTAATTGCTTATTCTCCGTTCTGACATTTTCGAATTTCTATGTAATCGATCATCCCAAATGAAGTTACAGCGCGACTCGTAGAGCTAAGTTGACGCGCCGGCGGGGACACGTAGTCACGCTTCGATTGAAACAGTCGCGAGAATTAATGGAGTCATCCTCTATACATCAGGATAATGAACCATTAAACGTGGCTACAATTGGCTAGAGACTCGACAGAGCCTTATCCTCCGACGCGTTTGCTTCTCTCAGTTTTCCTAAATTTCCTTCCCGAGTCAAGTGATGAGGTGCCCGTGAGATTCGCTCTGCTGTCGGAATTACGAGGACAGCAGGGCGCACCTCCTCTCAGCACCAGACGTGGGCCTGAGCCCAGGCTCAGGGAGCCCGAGAGGTTCGTTGCTTTTAATTTGGCTTCCACACGCGCACGCAACAAAGTCTATAGGCGACTCTGGCCTTGTTTATCGCAGCTTAAAGTTTTCGAAATGATTGTTTACAAAGCCGAGTCGAGACGGCGGAGCGCAGACCAGCGCAGTTTCTCATCGATACGGCGCTTCATCCAGATTCACTGAGAGCGGAGTAATTGGCTGTTCTGCCTCGAAGACAAAAGCCTCGGAACTTGGCTATTTGGCTATTTGGCTATTTGGCTATTTGGCTATTTGGCTCCTTGGTTCCTCCTTCTGTTGGAAGCGGCGCTCCTCAAGAGCCACGCGAAACTTTGAATTGCGCCTCGTCCACTGCACCGGCAGGGCCAGCCTCGATCGCTCGATCGCTCGATCGCTCGATCACACTGTCGCGGTACTTCGTCCCCATCCGCGCCGCGTCGCAGTGTCAGCTCGACGTAACCTTGCCACGATTAGCTGGTTGAGCAATTTCATTATCGTCACGGGCCATTGATACTCCTCTTTCCGCGGCGGATTGCATCACGAGTGGGAAATCGCACAGCGGCCGATCGAGCGATCGTTACGTTCTTCGTTATCTCGGTTAAGCAAGATGCCGTGAACGATAATCTTTCACAGGATAACGCGAAAAGACCCAAACACCACCGGAAGAACATTGTGTGCGCTCGAGGAGTAGCGCGAGAAGAGGAATATTTGAGCACTTTGCGAGATCGCGATGAGGAAGCGAAGGGGAACCGATGTTCGGCAATTGGCCAAGTATTTTGTGCACCTCCTATCGACGTAGCAGACTCGCTTGTCAGAGAGGTCGAGGCAACAAATAATAAGCGATCCCAAGAAGTATTCGACCTGCGCCTGCTGAAAAGGACGGAAAAGATAAATAGGCGTCCGGGACACGAGAACTCGGATCGGATCCGCCGAGACCTCGAGCGACTTCCAAAGGGACAAGAGTTTGCCTTTCTCTCGACACGATAAATCCAAGGTAGATAAATCTAGTGTTCTTGCGTAATAAACGTCAAGGCGTTATCCGTCCCATGGATGCTGTCGACTTGATTCTCCTCCTCCCTCCCCCCTCCTCACTATATTACTCCCTCCTCTTCCTCTTATCTTCTTTTCGTTCACTTCGTTTTCTTCAGTTTTGAGAATACGAAAACTCCGAGACAACAGCCCTACGCAATTACCTGATCCCAACAGTCAGCGAGGGGGGACATTTAAAAGTGATTGCGTCCAGCCGAAATGAGTTCGTCCTACCTGCCTTATCCGTAGCAGGAGTTTTCATTCCGACTACGTTTACTGGACTTGTGCGCAAGTAGCACACTGCTCGAAGAACTTACGTAGTGTAACTCGCATGCTCCACAGCCGTATGCAGAAACTCGTTTTCACTCGGTCGTTTGAGCTGCACGTTATTATCGTGGGCGTTGACTCCGTTACGGAAGGGCATTCTGATCTGACCACTCGACGCACCTCGAACACCTCGAACACCTCGAACACCTCGACGAAACAACTTTCTTTCCTCAAGAAAGACAATAGAGAGTCAGGAGCCCAAGAAGCAGCAAGTAAACGGCAAATTTCCAATTACTCTTCCTTGCCCACTTTTTAATTTCTCCGTGTTTTTGATTGTCGCCCTGCCGCTTTTTTCTTTCTTTCTTATTCCGTTGTACTCTGGTTGTACCGATGCTTGGAGGGTAGTTGCGTTTCGCTCGAAATACACGCGGATTGTTGAACGGTTTTCGCTGCGAGCTGCTTTATAACTCGAGCTGGTAGAGGGAAAAGAAAAAAAGAGTTCCACCAGCGACCAATGTTCAGGACGGTTTACGAGAGAGCTAACCAATCATCGTTGAGATTAAACGCGAGAAACTTCCAGAGGGCACGTAACGATAACCCATTACGAATAAGTGATCCAATTGCCACACGAGTTCTCTCCATGCCTGTGGTCAGACTTGTCCTGACTATGACGAGGTCGCTATTGACATACGATGCCGTGAGAAATATGAGTATTCCGGAAATATTTTACTTTTCGAGGAGCCGTCTCTTTGCGCTCGTTTTTCACGCTTCCCCTCGCCCCTGCCGCCGGCGCAGTTCAACTATTGACGAATCCTCGCGTCTCGTGAGTTGCTGAGGCGACTTCAAGCCGGAGCTCGTGCGTCTTCCACTGCTACCACATGCCCTCGCGAGTGGCCATTGTTTTGCAACGACGATTACAGGCACCGAGAGCGATGTTTTGCTTCGACACGAAAATCCAGAATGTTGCGCAAAGAATTGCGTCACTTTGAAGATGGCGCAGTCTCTCCTTCGATTGGTTTACATTTACGTTAACGCAACACAGGAAATTTCGCGAGCTCCGCGTTTCCTCTGGATATCCCGAAGGACTCTGTTACGACGCGGCTCTTATGCGTAAAATTGATCGACGGAAGGCGAATGAGGAAGGATCGCCAAGTCCCGGGATGAGAAAGATTCGGACTCGAAGCGTCCCCTCTCCTAGTACCTATAACCAGGAGTATCGTAAATATCATTATATTTCTCGAAGAAAATGGCAGGACTCAAACGAAGAAGAGCCAAGCGATATGTCAACGAGCTTCGACGAGAAACAGAGAGATTATTATTGTGCTCTGCAAAGAGTGCCAGCCTCCACGAAGGCGACAGGTTGCGTGTGTCGTTAGGGCTGTACATAGTAAGGTGTGCTCTCAATCTACTACCTAACACTCGATATATCATTTGAGAGAGAGAGAGAGAGAGAGAAAACTTACTTTTCCAGGCATTCTTTGCATAGGCAGGATTCACTAAGTATTTTCCGAGCACACGACATGTTCTGGCACAATTTCCACAAGATCACATTCGGTAGCAGTGAGCAACGACGCAACTCCGTTCACTGAAAAATGCACGATGCCATCAAGGCTGTACAAAGTAGATCGTAGCGATTAAAGGCATTCCGAGATGGCAGCACGGCCAGCACTAATGACAAATTTGGCAAATGGCGTCACGGTCAGCTAATCCCGACCTTACTCCCTCCAACAGCTGCACTCATTGTCTCCGTCGCATCAAATCCTACCTTCCGCACTGGCAAAAGCTATTGCTTGGAACGGCCAGCCGAGGGGATTCCTCCGTCTCCCTCGCTCTGTTGGTCTATAATAAACACTCTCTCTCTCTCTCTCTCTCTCTCTCTCTCTCTGTGTCTGTGCGTGGTTCTCGTTGAGTCCCCCTATAGTATACCTTTAGAATCCAGAAAGTGGAACCGATCGTGACGGAGCGTGCTCTATCGCGCTGGGATCGCCGTTCGGTGTCTTCTCATAAATGTCTTTTATCGCAGAGTCCGTGTCTCTCTCGCAACGTAACACGTGAAACCTTCGATTTTTCAAAGGCGTCGCTCGCAAAAGTGCAATCGAATCTTCTTTTAAAATAATTTCAACTCACCCAACTCTCGAACGATGCGCACGAGTAATATTCCTATCCGTACGGATGTCGGTTCCAATTTCCTGGCAGTTAATTTCGATAAATTCGAGATTTTCACTAAAACTTTCGAAAATGCTCCTTCTACGAGCGTGCTTCAGTGAGGGCACGAGTGCCCGGGAGTTTATGTAATCAGCTTTTCGATTTTCCATATTAAAATACCGAGGAGTGTATTTCGCGTGGAAACGCTCGGTGCTCTTTTTCGTAGAGACTCTGTAGGATGTAAAAAACGTGCAACGAGGATAACGTTTCGAGCGTGACTGCGACACGTTCGATCTCCGACGGTACCGTCTGTACTCGTATATGTATAGCATGTACCACGCCTGTTGCCTGTTGCCTGTTGCCTGTTGCCTGGTGCCTGGTGCCTGGTGCCTTTTGCCCCATAGACCCTAAACAGTAGATTGTAGACTGTAGACCATTATCGGGTACGAATTTTCCATTTCGGCCTCTATTCGTATTTCCATTCCCATTATCCATGTGTATTAACCAAGTCCCTCCTGACCCTCCTGACCCTCCTGACCCTCCTGACCCTCCTGCCGCCTACGGTCGATCGCAACTCAGGGCTCGCGACTCCGAGTCCAGAAGCTAAGCCGCTATTTCGCGTTATCCGTTCCCTAACCAAACAACATACACGGATTATCTCGCAATTCGGAACGATCCTTTGTTAGTCAGTGAAAAGTGGAAAATACCGCATCTCAAAATACACAAGTTTCGAAAGTTCGATCGCCATTGAGAAAACTTGCACCGCGCCAACGCATTAACGAACTCAATAACCGACTATTTGCTCGATGTGCAGCGTCCTTGAAAAAGTTTCCAGCACGTGGTGACGTCGCAACGACGTCGAGTATCTCGCGACCTGTCGCGCATTCGCCTCCGTTGCTATATATCAGAGCTATTAAGCCGAAACGGGTCTGTCACGTTTGACAGACGTGGACAGCAAAACATCGACCACCTATCGCTTTGGCTTTCTCGTGTCTTTCTCTTGTGCATTTAGAGTTCCCGAAAAATCATTGAGAAATTCCATCCCAGCTCTATTTCGCGTTTGCGTCACTTGGAATTGGCCTTTGGGAAAATTGGCTCTTGACTTTTGACCAATTTCCAATCTTGTAAAATGTCCAGGCGTTAAAGGTGTCAGAGTCGTCACAGTCATCGAATCCGACTGAGGTATTTCAGCTGGACGAGCCTGTTACGTGCGCGCAGGTACACACGTGGAACCAGCACAGTTTCGGCTGATGAAATACTCCTGATCCTGTGACTTCTCAGTCGTTCGATCGAGGCGTCCCGCAATGTTTCCTAAAGGCGGCGATCAATGATCGAGCGCCTGGCCGAGAAAGAGAGAGAGAGAGAGAGAGAGAGAGAGAGAGAGCACAGCTTTCAAAAGTTTCTCGACTTAATCTTTACAAAGAAGAAGAGAACCCGAGTGCCGAGAGTCAAGAGTCGCGCTCTTGATTCTCTCTGAGCCGATATTGGCCTTCCTAATATTATGGAGCAATCAAAAGCGATCGAAGGTTATCGGCGCTACGTCGTGGCAATAATACGAAGATCCTGCTGCTGAACGACAACTAGCTTCGGCCGACGGATCATCGCGGAGGCAGCCGTCCGGATCTTTGCCTGCGCCTACCGACCGCATCTCTGGCTCAGCCCTGCAGGCTGCCTCCTTGCCCTGACTCGGCCCACAGAGAGCGAAGAAGCGCCTCGATGCTTCTCTTCGTCCTTACGCGCTACGGCAATCCCAATGGGGCATTACTTCCTGCGCTTCGTTACTTCCCTTCGATGAATCAGGCTTTCCTTGTGCGGCCTCCTGCGACCAACCTAGAACCGCGTGCTTTCTGCTTTTCAGACAGGTTTGAAAATTTCGAGCTACCAGGATTAGGCACCCATTCGCTCGAACGCTCAAAATAATTATCGAGTCATTCAGACACATCAGTGCCCAACAAGTTGATCGGTAGCCTTGTTTCCTTATTTTCTTATTCTTTCTTATTCTTTCTTCTTGCGTAAAATACAGCGAGGATAAACGTATTGTGAAACATATCGCGGACCCCTCCGGCGTAATTGGATCCACTGGGGTTCCATCTTATCGGCGACCTCTTGTCGATTATCGCGCGTACGTCAACTGGACGCAACTATACTGTCATTCTGTAGACGAGTGCCTTACCCTCTAGAAGACGGGAAGCCAATATTCTGTCTTTACGTCGCTCTCAGATTTCTCCTGCAATAATACTATAGCATACACACACACACACATTCAAGTTCCCTGTGAAGAACTGTACAAGTCGTTAAAAAATCAGTCCGTCCGTCCTTTAAAGGTTAAAGATCCCCGCTACCTACAATCGCACTCTGACCTCTCCGCGTTGATGTCTACAAAGTTCACAGTAGATAATAATGTGACCAAATAATTAAAACTCCCATTGCATTCAATTAAGGCTGATTATTGCTAATATTTTATGTATAATGAGCTTCGTTGATATAAGTAATCAGTGAATTTCGCTAATGATGCCTATATGTATAATCGATATTTTGCTGAAAAGCTTGTGCGGCAGATGCCGAAGCTCCAAATCTCGTGAATATACAAATGCATGCTTTTTCTTTTAGTTTTGGCTTATAAAAATTAGATATCAAGTTTTACGATGAAGCCTGTTGGTCTGGTGGTATCCGTAGTGCAAATAGAGAGAAACAATAAATATATCAAAGTGACAGGTTGTAGAAGAAGATGAATAACTTTAGAATTAAAATAGCAATATTAGCAAGTAGGTGTAACATATCAGCATACATACATATGTATGACGGCGTATTTCTGTCATTTGATTTATTTAAGGTTTTTTATAAATCATATACAATTTTACATATTTCTTTAATAAGAAAATAAAGTAGTCAAGTAGAGTGTGGGGCACGCATATGATAGGGTTCCGTAGTCATTCTTTAGTAGCCATTATTATTTTTTCATGTACGATTTAATGTATTTTATAGAAATCTGGATCGCTAACATAATTTATTTATTTTTTAACTTTGAAACTTCCTTAAAGCAATGTTTATGATTCGGAATAATAGTTATTTTACCTGAACAAATTAGCCTGTATCCGAAAAAGAGTTATTTTTATACTTTGAGGAGACCTATTAAAAGACACCTGACTCGATGGGGTGAACAATAAAATTTCGAGTTCACTTTTTCAGTCTGCGGGATGGGGTTACAACATTTTTTTAATGTTATCATTTCTGTTTTTGGGTCATCGCTCTACGCCTGTGTACCAAATTTTGTCTTAATTAGTCCGTAAATGAAAGAATGGGAGGCCTGTGACATACAGACAGATGGACTGACCAAAACCATAAGGGTTTCTAGATTTCTACGGAACTCTAAAAAAGAACAAAAGTAATGTAAATACTTAGCTTTATTAATATATTCGTAATTAACGTTAGAAGTGTTTAAAAATGACCTGGGTGTGTCAGACCCAACCTTTCGCACGCCGGATTAAAGCAACAGGCAAGACAAAAAATACTATAAAAGATCTGATTTACTTATTTCACAAATTAGTATTTCTAACTTGGATGCGGAGCCAATGATAAAACAAATACACTTATTTCCTCGTTCAAGTACAGTCCTAATCTAACCACTGACTTTATCCTTTATATAATAGAGTTATTCAATAGAAACGCACCACCTGAACATAGTTCCTACCACAGAAATCAAATGGACGGGTTAACTTCAGGTGGTGCGTTTCTACTGAATAACTCTGTATGCATATGTATACATATACATATGTACAGCATTCTCGAGAAGTCGAAGAAACGCAATCACGCTACTTAAGAATTCAAAGTAATTAAATCAAAATTATCAAACAATTTTTATTCATTTCAAATTTTTTCAACGATTAGGAATTAATCTATATATTTCTTGTGTGGACAAAACTTTGGTCACGTCGTGCCTACGGCAAGATAGTAGGAGTTCCTTCCTCTACGCGCCTTATACGAACTATGGCTGCCTTGACGTTAAACACATTTCATGAAATATAAAAGGGCCAAAAGTGTTGTAATTATCGAGATCTAACTTTTGTCATTATATTTATGTTCGTCTCTCTAGGTCGCGTTAGGAAATTCTCTGCCAATGCTGCTTACGGGCTCTGGTTGTGCCCCTTTTTATTTGCATGCGTGAGAGCAACGCCAATAGCGACACGATATGTATGCATGCACTCAATGTCAGTGTTATTGGCGACAAATTATGCAACAAGTCGCGCCATCTATCTTTAGACCAGAAAAGGAGATTATTTATCCCGGACGATTGCTTTACGCCCGTTTCCTCCGACGTGGTTTAGTGTTGAACCTAGTTTAAACTTCGGTTACTGAATTTTTACATTCCTCCAACAATATTGAACGAAAGATAACCGACGTTTAACTTGAACGCCTGATGTCGAGCGTTCAGTGACTTAAACGTCGTTCAAATACTGTTGTGTGGTGGGTGTGGCAGGTGTGGGTGTATCAATGTGTCCATGTAGTGAGAAGCATGCTAGAATGAGACAAGGAATGTTCTGACGTACCTACGTCGCAGAGGACCAATAAGCTGCTGCCCGAAGATTCCACCATTGTTGCCGCGTATTTTGAAACAGGGCGCAGAACCAAAGTTTTAACTGATGAAAACTGTCGTAACAAATATTATTTCTAATTAAAATAATTTTTAGAACTTCTCACTGCACACGACGGCATTGTTACTAAAATTGTCGCCTTCATTATGCACAATACAAAGCACACACTTCACATACGATCAGGATCAGATTATGAGAGGTTATGGGATGGGACATATTAACGATACTAAACCATCGCTATATGTCGATGATACAACATAGAACACTGAAAAATGGCAGAATCTTCGGGCTGCACAGAGGGTCGATTGTGTTATTCAAATGTAGTGAAAATACGTAAAGTGAATAGCTGTTAGCCAATCGCTGTGCTTGTCTTCTTTTGAACCTAACACGCGATTGGCTAACAGCCATTCATTTTTCGTATTTTCACTACACTTGAGTTATTTTATATTTTATATTTGAGAGTTATTTTAAATGAGATATAGGTTTAGCTAAACGAGCTCAGTGTTCGGTTGAAGGAATGTACTTTACGTTTAAATCACGATCACTTTTGACCGTCGATTAGCTAACCTGTCCCTTGAACTGTGTCGGAGGAAACGGCCGTAAGAGTACAGTTAAACCGAGTTTATGCATTGAATCGCGTCGAAGAAAACGGGCGATAGTCATTTACGAACAGTGTGGCAAGCGCATGCGTCGTGTTGTTCGTGTCTCAACTCCAGCAGTCTGGCAATCACTGACTGTTATATACTGAAGACGACGACCGGTGACAACCGCTGACAACTGCCGAAGTGGTCAAATAGTCGGACTGACTGCAGGATCTCCATTTCTGTGTCCGCTTGCTTTGGTTTCTGGTCTGTTTGCGCGGATTATCCTGTGTGAACGTTCAGTCATAAGAAAAGGAAGAAGGATCTGTCTGAACGTAGTCTGAAGAGATACACGGGATCCTTTTCAACTTATTACGCCATATTAGGCTGAAGAGGTAATTGTAAATAGGTGTACTGTTCGACGCACATCTTTATCGATTTCACCTATTTCCAGAAAGTGCGAGTGACGCATCAGACACGACCATCTACCTGCATATATACGTACGTGTTTGCAAACACAAATCGTTTGCGTTACGTTTCTAATTATTGCTTCTACATATTCAATTAGTTTCAATCTTTCGATACCCATAATGCGTCCGCAAATTTTATCTATTTTCCAATAGATATCCCTTGCACCGAAGGATTACTCATTCTATCTTATCGTAACACACTTTTAGTTGCGTGTTTTAATGATCAGTTCTCTAATCTAGTTCTACAATCAGTATAGGCTGTTTTTACGAAATGAGAGATGAATCTGTACTTCCATATTTCTACTTTAATATTATTCCACCTGTGATGTCAATTTCAATCGCATGTGATTATTAAGTAACTTTAGTTTCTGTAATACTATTTGTTGTTAGTAATCACATGAAATGACATTATCAAGTTATTGTACTGTAGCTTTAATTTGTATCATTTAGAATGCCAAAGTCACATTATGGTAGTCTACATCGGTAACAGAGCCTGGTCGGAAAAATGTTAAATTATTTTAATAAACTTATAATGCATTCCTATGTGTGTAATACTTTAAGGTCTGAAATCGATTATCAATAATCGAGGCTACTGGTAGCTTATCCTATGTGTGCACAAATACCTAGTAGTGATGTCAGGAGCGAGGAAACATATCTTCAATTCTAATCATATCTTGTTCATTTTTAAATGACTTATCAAAATTTTTGATGAGTCAGTTTCGTTGTATTTTTATTTCATAAAAATTAAACGTAAGGAAATCATACATTCCTTCTGACCTGTCGAAATATTATGGAGGTGGCTACCATTACGCTTGCCTGATTTTTGCACATATCTTGTTAAATTAGAATATTTACTTAAAGCCAGAAGATAGTATTCCATGTCGTATAGGTGAGCTAGACATTCTGACACAATCATTTCCAATTACATCAGTTACGTAATAGACTTCTCACAGAACTTGTTTTATTTTAATGTATATCTAAAAATTTTTTAATTTAATTAGTGTATATCAATATCGCTCTATGTACGAATATTACTTCATGGCACCTGGTATAATGTTTTACTTGTCACATTGGCAAATTATGTGTGCCCATTTGAAACTAGTACATTTTTCTTTTATTATGAGTTCCAACACTGTTATAATCAACAAAGTGTGGTAACATTAGATTCTTTTTCAGCCAAAGCAATCCCAAAGATGACAACATGGCAGAATACTCCTGGTTCGGGATACTATCCACAGCAACAAGGTCTTAATTGTTATTCACACTTCACATAAGTTATAATTACTGCAATCTAAACAAAAATCATCAGTCTCCGCAATGCCAGTGGGATACCGCCACATACTAACAGCAGTACAGTCAGACTATGCATTTTGCAACATATTTTTTTTTTTTTTTTTTTTCCATTGCATTGAATAATTGTTCTTTACAGTATCAAGAAAAACACCAACTACATATAATTATCTAATAAACACTAAACAATATATGTTATTTAATTGCATTTTCCAAAGATCTGCAATGAGAAAATCTCATAAAAAGTCCATGCTAAATGTTCTGCCAAATTCTTATGCTTCATTGATCTTCAGTGATAATATGTCAACATAATAATGGCGTCGTGTGAAGTGGAAAGATACCTGCAGCCATGGATGTCAATGGCAGAAATAATATGCTGATATCATTAATATTGTGTCATGACAACGTCTACGGCATATGTTCTTCGTACTCGTGAGTTTGCAGATTGACATATTATTATTTCAGGTCCAGGTTATCCATATCCAAATTCAAATCAGCAAAATCCTGGTTACCCTCCAAATCAGGGTTACCCACCGCCACCGCCACAAGAGGGATATAATCCGGGATATCCTCCACCGTACACCGGTGGAAATCCGCCAGGTATGATTTGTTGTTCAATTAAAGACGACGTAGAGCAATCTTGATTGTCCGTTGGTTGTAGGACCTGGTTTTATACCACCCGGCGTCCCACCTTACGGTCAAGTACCGCCGATGGCTGGAGCTCCTATTGGCGCAGCGCAACAATCAGGAATGTACGGGTCCAACTATGGAGAAGACGCTCTGGAGGGTGAAGTCAAGGGCTTTGAATTTAGTGACAAAACCATACGGAATGGTTTTATCAGGTAAAATGATTGAATCTTAAAATTCATGGTGATATTGTGTACCGATTGCAGCATGCTGACACGACTCTTCATTTTTTTTAGGAAGGTGTACTCGATACTTATGTGCCAGCTCTTGATCACAGTCTCCTTGATCGCAACCTTTGTGTATCACCGGCCAACACAAAAATGGGTTCACAGTCATCAGGAAGTGTTCTGGATATCATTGGTCATGACGTTAGTCCTGTTGATTTGCATGGCCTGCTGCACGAGCGTCAGGCGCAAGCCCCCGATGAACTTCATTTTCTTGTTCCTCTTTACGCTGGCAGAAGGCATCGTCTTAGCGACAGCAGCATCAATGTACGAGGCTGACGGGGTGAGATCACAATACTGCGAAGAAAATGCTGTAGAGATAAAAGAAGATTTTAGCATAGGTTTAATTCTGCCGTTTCACCTACAGGTGCTGTTGGCGGTTGGAATCACAGCCGCTGTATGCTTGGGCTTGACGATCTTCGCTTTTCAGACAAAATGGGACTTCACTGTGTTACATGGAGCGTTATTCGTTGCTGTTATCATTCTATTAATGTTCGGCATTTTGACGATATTTATTCACGGAAAAATCATGACACTGGTTTACGCCTCCCTGGGTGCTTTGATTTTCTCGATTTATCTAGTCTATGACACCCAAATGATGTTGGGTGGAAAGCACAAGTATTCAATTTCCCCCGAGGAGTACATCTTTGCTGCGCTTAACCTCTACTTGGACATTGTCAACATCTTCCTTTATATTTTGACCATCATCGGCGTTACACGTAACTAGTTTTTTGTTTTGTTGTTTTTTTTTTTTAAAAAAAATGACGTGGAGTCTACGATCATTAGTGGCTGCTGAGATGAAACAGGAAACATTTCCTTTCGCTCCACTCGCTGTTACTATGAGACATTTTCTTAATATGTACTAATAGATGGAAGAATCGAGCCAAGTAAATTATTGATAGAAGGATCCCCCTTTTGAACTCCTATGTATCTACTTTATATGTATATCTACGCATATGTGTATATAAAATATCTCTAGCAGACCCGGCGGTTTTGTACAAGAAGTATACCAAACATTTCTTGCAAATCACCGTTGTTAAGTCGTTTCTACCATCCAACCACTATCTGAAAGCTCCGCGACAGATTTTGAGGTGAAGGGAACGGTATCTTGTACAATGCTTCGGATAAACATTTTGCACAAAACCACCGTCGTGGTTTTGAAGGTGGTTCGGTTGGTGATAGAGGATCTGCCTGCTAGGGATACTTAGATATCAGTATAATCGTTGATTTTCACTATTAATATTTCTATCGGCGTAATGGTTTAGGAAGATGATTTTTCGGAGACAAAAATCTTTCACCATGTTGTATATCTTTCCCTAGAAAATAACAGAGATATGAACTTTATATTGCTACGATCATTAAAATTGGTATTTAATATAGTGTATTAATGCCACTGACACCATATAACTCTGTAGTAGTAAATGGCAATATCACGGCTTGTATGTTACTCTCTGTTATATATGCCTTACCTTGTAATTAGTAACTACGCTTTATTCACCTTCAATTTATGGTAAATGATAAATATATAATGATGTCAAGTTGCGATAATGATTGTTTACCTGCATGTCATTGCGTAATACATACGAGACGAATTGTGGATCGCATTGTGGGAAGTGAATTTACCAAATAAAGTCGTATACACTTATACATATTTATACCATACGATTCATACAGCGGAAGTATCTCGAGCAGCTTCAAGGGCTAGGGAGGCTCTCGCTTAAAACGTTTACACTCTTCACTAAATTCCAAAATAACGTTTGGATATTCGCAACGTTAGCACGGGTCGCGCAATTGAGTAGCCTGATGTTAAATCATTCATACAAGTAATACCATATTAATACTAAACCTTTGGATGTGGAAAAGTTTTTTCTTTGTGAGCTTTGCTTGCGACGTTTGATTAGCTTAAGTTCGCATTTATAGATGAGACATATTTTTATTTAAAATACTCAACCATAAAATCACTGAATGGATCTGGACTCAATGAAATTATCGACAATTTCAGCAGGACAGTAGTAGAAATGTGTAATATTCCGGGGGGAGGGGTAATGAGATTGGATCAAAATGAAGATGCAAGGTACGTGTGAATAGATTTAAATCAGGTTCCACGAAAATCTGTCATATGCGCGTCAAGAGTTTCAGAAACAGAGATTGACTTTATTAAGTGAATTCTTAGCAACGTCGTAATAACAGATTCGAATTAGGTTGACGTAAAAATAGCAATGAAAGGTGAAACCGAGTATGCACTAGCACTATCCACAAATCTATTCAAACTGACGAGTCGATATATGATTATTATGCGCTGTTATTACAATAAATAGTATTAAGTTAGCACCATCGGGTGGAACTTCTTTCCACTCTTCGATCGACTGTGACACGATCAGGGGCATCGTGAAGTTCCTTTCCATGAGTCTTTTCCAAAATTGCTTCTGCTAGTTCACCAAATGCTCTGTCAATATTGACGTTAGCTTTTGCTGATGTTTCCATAAACCTAATCCCATGTTCTCGCGCTATCTGAAAAGTGACATTACACTTTAATGCATATTAGAAATTTTAAGAAATAATATACAAATCATGTTCACATACTGATTCCCCTCTCTCAGTGCTAACAACACGATTTTCTTCCATATCACATTTATTTCCTAAAATCATCTTCTCCACATCTTCATTGGCATGCTAATGATCAAAAACACATAACAATGTCATAATATTATATATATATATATATAAATGGTTATAAAAATCGCATGAAGCATAAACCTGCTATCGTCATATACTCACTTCATCAATATTTCTTAACCACTTTGCAATATTTTCGAAGGTCTTTTCGTTTGTGATATCATAAACCAGCATGATTCCCATAGCCCCTCTGTAGTACGATGTAGTTATGGTATGGAATCTTTCTTGACCAGCTGTATCCCTATGATTGAATTATTAAAGTGACGCTATACATCAGTAGAGGCATTATAAAAAAAGAATGGAACCTTACCATATCTGTAGTTTGATTTTTTTTCCTCTCAATTCAACAGTCTTGATTTTGAAGTCAATACCTACATAGAAAGAGAGAAGGTAGAACATTAATGGAAAAAATAAAGAAACTGATGTTTTTCTCATAAGATGATTTTACTTATCAGTAAAAAAAGTGTCGAGTTTAAGAAAAATTAAAAGAAACCAATAGCGGCACTCTAAATACGACAGGTGACCTTTCAAGTAGCCGTGGTGTAGTAATACTTAGGCATACAACTAAGATGTTCGTAATATCGCGAAATTCATCTTTCATCAAATTTTTCGAAATCTTAAAATTTTTCCACATTTTTCCCACTGGTAACTTTACTCCTTTCTTTACGCTGTTGTCTTTGTTTCTCACCTATAGTAGAAATAAACGAAGTTGAAAAGGCGTGGTCTGAAAATCTGAACAATATACAAGTTTTACCGACGCCAGAATCACCGATTAGCAAAAACTTAAATAAAAGATCGTAGGTTTTTTTCGCCATTTCACTGTTACTCCGCGTTATCGAAATGTCGCTGAAAAAAAACAATAGCCAAATGACCAATAACCGATGAACAACGATAGAGCCGATGCCAGTTCAAAGATCGAGCGAGCGCGAACCCAAGAGCCACAGCGATCCTATGCTTGAAATCCGTCCAGGACTGCGTTCCAAAATCTATTGCAGATGTACTATAAGAAGATTGTGGGCAACGTCGTGGCCTTATTTATCCGCACCACTGGCATATATGTACAGCGCAAACCCATAGAACTTATACTCCTCTTCGAGGAATTGCCCAGTTAAAATTAGCTCCATCATGTTGAATCAGAGATATACCTCTTTCGCAGTTCGTAATGTCCAGTTCCGCTTATTGCACAAGTGCGCAATTTTACTGACCTAACAAAATCTAACCAGTCTAACGCGAAACGCGAGTTACACATGAAGACGGGAAGAATTCGATTGGAAGCAGCGGTTGTTATGAGTAGTGCGCGCGTGCACAGTGAGAGAAACTGCACATTATGAACGAAGCATAGAATTTATACTCCTGGAAGGGGAATAGCCCACTGTAGCAACAGAGATGAGTAGGGAGATTGCCAATGAGCCTGTTTTTGGTGAAGGCAATTTTTCTCTGGTTTCGGCGCGCCACCTTAGCGGAGGGCCCTCGAAGCAGTTCCACGTTTTTGATTGGTCGTGTATATATAGTAATACTACGCGTGATAATCTGGAGCTGTGTTTTGGCG